ATTTTTTTATCTCCTGTGTTAATGACCTGTCAGGGATATTATTTTTTCCTTTTGCCACCATGATTTGTAGCTGCTCGTGCAAACAGGACACCCGCCCTAATGAGCTGCTAATTTGGATGGAGCGAGCTAATCCGTGTGATTTGTGCAGGGAGGTGAACCGTTCCGTTTGCTCCATTTCTGGACAACTGTCTCATTAATGGGGTTTTTTTTTTCTTTTTTTTTACATTAGGCCTGTGTCTGCCTTGAGGCACTGTTCTCACAGATATACATAGATATATACTGTATGTCACTTATCATCTTAAAATGAACCTGTGATTTGCCTGTGCAGAGCAGAACAACAGTAAAACCCAACTCCAGGTTCCTATCCAATAAAAAAAAAATTATGGAGGTCCATAAGAAAATATCTGCAATACTTACCTCTACTGCAACGCTTTCCCTGAAGACATACTGTCCCCAAATCATCTACTGGATTGAATGACACCTAGCATCATTCAACCCACTTCCTGTGAGCCTAAGCTATCATGGACATGCCCCCAGGGAGCATGTGATCTTATTGTCCTGGGCTCACAGAACTCCTGGGAAGTACGGTGCTTACATGTAATTAGATAAGGTATTGCGCTGCTCAGGTGTGAGGAACACACACCATTGCAACTGGAGGGGAAGAAGGATTTGTGATGTCAAAGGACTAACCAGAAGACTACACGAAAATGGTAAGTATCAAGAGAATAAATAAGAAAAAGCCGTGGGGGGTGGCTTTAGGTAGGGAAGGCAGAAAGTTGGGCAGGGAGTAGGACTTAAATGCCCCCTTGCTACTAGCTTACCTTCTCTTTGCCACCTCACTGCAAAGCTGGGCTGCCAGGAGAAATAGGAAGTCCCAAAACTTCTAGGTGTAGGAAGCTTGTGACTCACTCCGCTTCTGCTGTTGATGCAGCACTGGAACCATGAGTGACCAATCAGAAGGCACCAGTTTTATCACATGGTGGTGGAGAGAAAGTCCATGTGTAAGATTGACTTGTTGCTTACACGGAGCTTCTTCTCTTTGCTTTCATGGGTGAACAGATCAGGAGTGGAGTGAAGAGAAGGTTCTTATGTGCAAAAGGAGAGCATGGCAAAAATGGGTCAGAAGGTGGCCTTTAAAGAGACTCATTGACAATACAGTCTGTTTAATTACCTGCCTATTTCCTCCTCCTTTCCCTCTCTATTCACATAAATAGGAACATTCTGGTAAATGGTGTCCTGAGGGTTTGCATGTCCAACTGTCCTTTGATGTCTCCGAGTAGCCATAGGCCTCGAACACACAGATGCCAAAGGAGGGCAATAAGAGTGCATTATTAACACCCACCAAGTGCCCTCAACTCCCGTCCTGAAGCGGTCATGAACCTGCCAGAGCTCAGTCAGGGACAGGCGCCAAAAGTGTGAGCCTCTAATGATTTCATAAAGCTCCTCATTTTAGAACAATATATTTTATTTCAATTAGACCGATGTTCTGGAAGCTCGCTGGTCATGTTCGGCAGCTTGCCTCTGGATTTCACAATAATGGTTAATACGGGGACATGTTTAACGGCTGACAAGACCGGATCAGGTTCCGCTTGTAGTTAATGGTGGAATATTTCCTGCCACAGACATTTTTTGTCAGACCCCATGAGAAAATTGGTTTTCGTGGGGGAGTGAAGAGACATTTGTGTCTGTTTCATTTGAAACTGCAGGAAAATAGTTTCAGGCATCAACTGACGCTGCAAATTAAATGTATTGCCTTGACAGTGCAATCTATATGTCTTTCAGCTTCCTAATGGCAGGCTGGATGGATTCTTCCAATCATTTCACTGTGCTTTTTGTCACCAAAAAGTCACAGATTATGTAGAATGTACCTCATTTCTGTCTCTTAGATCCCAAGATATAGAAAATGAAGTAAATCTGTTTTTTACGTTTCTGGGCAAGGCACAATAATCTGGTTTTCCTTCATGCTCTGTTCAGTGTTGTTAGCTGAAAGAAATACTCAGTACTTCCATTCACATGGAGGGGCATGTGAATCAGTCCAAATGGGCCAATCAATGCTGTCACGTGGGCAGGGCTGGATTTTCTCTCTCTGCTGCTCCAAGGCCAGTTTTGTCAATGCACCCCCTACCCGCCAAACCCTCCTTCATGGAGAATGGAGGACCTGCAGGCTGTATACAAGTGATCTCGGCGACATCGCCGGGGTCACCTGTACAAAACAAGCGGCGGCTTCCACGCTGTACATTTAGTTCTGCTTGCCCAAAGTAAGGCTAAATGTGGAAAACAACTACCCCGGGCATTAGGAGATAGGAATTCCACATCCCTGCTGCCCCTCTACTGCCTGTTGCCCCAAGGCCGAGCCATGGTTGGCCTTGTGGGAAATCCAGCCCTGCACGTGGGGTGTGTATAGCCCTGCAGGAATTACGAGTCCAGTGAACCATGGCTTACATAAGGCTTTTCTTTTGCTCATAGTAGATAAATTAAGCTGTAGGTAAGAGAAAGCACAGGTTTACTTGGAGCCTTGTACTTGGAAACATGCACTGGTTGACACTGCTGTCTACCTTCCTACTAAAAGTGCTATTTTCTCATTCCAGTCCTCTGGCTTCAATACTTTCAGAGGCATTGGCCTGAAACAAGTATGGATGGCCTGAAACAAGCAGATCAGGTGTTCTAAATTCACTGGTGGTTCCAAGTCAGAGACTCTAAAGTATCCAAGTCAGAGGAAGCCAGGGAGCTGACAGTTTCTGAAGGAGGTTACCAAATGTAAACAACATCTTTCTTATAGTATAGGTTTCTTTGAGAGAAACAATCTTGTCTAATAAATCATAATTTAGCAGAATATGACAGAAGTATTTGGTTGGTGACCTACCAGAGTTGTTCCAGGCCTTCCAATTGCAACTGTGTCTATAGCCATCAGTTCCTCTCCACTGGTTCCTTACCACTGGTTTGCTGCTCTGTCCCCGCTCAGAATTTCAGAATTCCGCAGGATGTGCCAGTTTCTATCAGTTTACTCTAAATGCTGAGATATGTTACTAACACTCATTCAAACTGTGGAGGCCACATGGACGAGAAGTGGTGAAACATCTTCAACTGAAAAGTACAGTTAGATGTGCCTAATTACTACTAGCTATACCATGACCTGGATACATGAAAGCCCTCACAGACATGTCTAATCTAACCTTTGAAAACCTGAAGTGTATGTGTGTCCAGTGGAAAAGATATTTCCCTTATATGTGGATACAGTAGATATTCGCCTATTACTCTACACTGAACTGGTAAGTTACCATCTATTCACTGCTGGTAACCAGCAATACGTCATGCAAAGGCAGTGTATATTGGGATTTCAGGAAGGCAAATGTTCCTAGATTCACCCCAACCTTATAAATGTTCCCTATGTGCCCATAGCAGCAGGACACAGCTAGGTAGTCATGAGGCAAGCAAGAATATTGTCCCATGCCAACCTCAGAGGACACCTCCTGGGACAAAGGGCTCTTCCTGCCCCAAACCAGGAATGCTCTTCTCTTAATTCCCCCAATGTAAGATTGCCAAATATTTGTGTTTTGTACTCGGTAATAAACTGCTATTAGGCTTAGACTCTCCTATGTATATTTTTTAGATTTAATCTTTCTTTCACCCCTTTTCAGTTACGCACAGGGATATAATAGACCTGTGTTTTAGTTTACAAGTAAAGGTTGCTCATGTCCAGCCTTTGGCCTGAGGGTTACATGTAGCCCTTCAGGAACTTATTGTGTTGCATTCGTGCCCAGCTGTAAGTGCAATGAATTGTAAAGGTGCTTAAAGGGAAGTCATCTCTAGCAGTCTCCTTTAATATGTTCCTGGTCTTTGGCTGTCTTTTGAGCAAGACTCCAAAATCTATATGTCTATATCTGCTGACAATCTCTTGTAGTATGTCTGCAGTCTCTGACAGTCTTCTGAAACATTACAAATACTGAATGGTATGTGTGGCTCAGGGACGGCAGTTGAGACAATCCTATATATAATATGTTGACCAACACTGGCTTTGGGGGCCTGATATTGGAGCCATTCAGGCTTTCTGAAAAATTACCCTTTTCTTCAGCAAGAACCACTGAGCAAATTGTCCAAGGGTGACCAATGGGGACCAAAGATGGCAAATGTCCAAAGGTGACCAGTGTCCAAAGGGGACCAATGGCCAAAGGTGACTAGTGTCCAAAGGTAACCAGTGTCCAAAGGTGACCAATGGCCATGGCCAAAGGTGACCAGTGTCCAAAGGTGACCAGTGTTCAAAGGTGACCAATGGCCAAAAGGTGACCAGTTTCCAAAGTTGACCAGTTTCCAAAGTTGACCAGTTTCCAAAGTTGACCAGTTTCCAAAGGTGACCAGTTACCAAAGGTGACCAATGTCCAATGGTGACCAGTGACCAAAGATGGCCAGCAACTAAAGGTGACCAATGGCTAAACGTGACCAGTGACCAAAGGTTATTTTCATTTTAGAAAGTAAGCAATACAATTGCAGAGGTTCAGATTGATGGAAGACTCTTTAGGCCCCCGAGATCCGTACCGAGCACTGGGAATAACCCTTTTAACCGTATTTTTATTTCAAGCAGATTGAAAGTAAAAGGTCACAAATAAAGATTTATATTGGAGTGAACGAGGGAAATCTTTTTATCCAGTTCAAGGATAGGGACTAAATGAAGAGAGATGAAGGAGCGCAGCACTGGGTAAAATGGCGTAACACATTCCCGCTGCCTGAGTCTGGCCGGATTGCTGAAATTACTTTCTTTTCTCCACCAGTGTGTTTGTCATTTGCGCCTAACAAGCTTTAAAGGGGCAACAGTAAACCTTTGAGTCGAAAGATAGACAGACAGTAATTGCATGTCTGCTGTACCACAATGGCCTTAGACCTCAATCTGTCATCCGTTCTGGGTCTCTGTGAGCAGGAGAAATCAGTTGTCTGTGTTGATAAATGGTTGTGTTTCTGTCTATCCTTTCATCTTTTTACTTATGTGTTTTACTTTCCTCACCCAGGGGGATTCCAGGGAAGAAATGCGGGACTATCATCTTATCAGCGGAGGAGCTCAGCAATTGTCGGGTCTGTATACAATGAAACAGTTTTATACAAAGGCTGAGAGTCTGAATGGTGGTTTGAATGGCTGCTGAAGCGGTTCTGATTATTTTAACATGTGACTTTTAACACTTAGGTCAAATGATCGTACGCCTGCAGGGCTCGCTGGGGCTCATTGACTCAGGATTGAAGTATCATACCTTTTTATCTCTTTATAGTCCTGGATCTCTGTGTGTTATAATTTAAGACTGCTAGAAAAGACTTTAAAATACCCTTAATATTCAGTGAAAATGCTGCTTGCTGAGCTCACCCTTAAGTGCTCTCTGCTGGCAGAGTTGAGTAACAGCCACACCCCTCATCCAAGAAGGAGAGGAGCATGTCTTTCCCCAACATACATCATGCAGACATAATCTACTGTTGTCACCATCGAGAAACTGACCCTGAGAAATGCAGTGCAGCCCAGGGATGTGCGATCTGGGGAGGCAGGTGAAGCATAGCTCACCTGCCAGTATGAAAGAAAAAGCTGTCAGCTCCGAGTCTGTAACTGACAGCTTTTTCTCAATTCGGACCAGCTTCTAACAGGAAAGCCTCCTCGCTGTGTAACCTGTCATGCTTGGAGCTCTGCCTGTTAATTACAGGCGGCGCTTGATCCGGCTTCCATGCTGTTGTGTGTTACCGAACACAGTGAGGCCAGAGCTACAACAGCTTCTGACCTGGAGTCAGAGGCTTGAGCTCTGTGGGCGGTTTGGACCAATGGCAAAGCACCATTGTTCCAAGCCGTCCAATCAAGAAAAAACACTGACAGCATCCATCTAGATGCCTCATCAGTGACGAGTAAGTGAGGGACATAGCTCAGTGACCGGGCCTGGGGTGGGGTTGGGCCAGGGGGTGCCTCACCTGCCATGAACCTCACCGCTGTCCCTAGTGCAGCCATCACTAGAGTGTATGTAGACAGGAAGTAGCTGCAAAATGACTGCAACAAATGACTACAAAAAGGTGAAATGTTACATGCCATTTTGGGCTATTTAGTGTGGGGTGCACGGTAGGGGTGGAAGGAGTTTGAGTTTTATCCTGCAGATGGGCTTTAAAAAACAAAATGGCAGTTGTTCATGATACACAATGCTGTAGCAATGTCATTAATACGGTTTTCCATTCACGTTAAGACAAACCCAGCCCGGAGTTGTGTTATTTGCAGACGTGCTCTGCATAAAGAGGGGTTAATTCTCTTTCCTCTTATGTGGATGGAATCTTCTACATAAAATTCATTACACATAGCAACTTCTGTGTCAGATTATTTATTCCGGTATATTAGCAATTTTGATTAATGGTGTGTTTAATTGCATTTATATTTATGATTTGCATGTGTGTCTGGGGAAAGGAGGGGAGAGGGCGGGAGATATTAAATGAAATCTTCTCCTCGATTATTAAAGCTCACGATCTTGTCTTATGCAAACTGACAATACTTGGAAAGTACACTTTTTTTAATGGTGGACTGGTTTTTTACGACAAGATCAGGTATGGCAGGCAAGGCAATAGGGATATTACAGAGATGATAGCAAATGATGGTTTAAAGCTGAACTCTGGGATAAGCAAATCTTGTCCTCATACAGGAGTCATGTGTATTCATCCCTAAATGAGCTTTGCAGATCTGTGCAGTAATCCAGTGTGAAACTTGAAGCGTCCTGTAATTAAGACCAGTCTCTGAGGCTCTCTTTCCTTTTGCAGTGTGACTGGTCTTGTATCCACCCTCTCCTGTAGTTTTCCTGAAGGCAGCCTGTAGTAGGTGGGGCCTGCTGGGCCCCTTCCTACAGCTCTGCTTTTTGCTCAGGCTATGTACAGCACAGTGATGATGTGAGGAGTACCGTGATCCCAAAGCCTTAATTACATGCTTCCTGGAGTACTGTGAACACATATGGTGATGGCATGCTCCAGGAGTACTGTGCACCCATGTGGTGATGATGTGCTCCAGGAGTACTGTGAACCCGCACGGTGATGATGTGCTCCAGGAGTACTGTGAACCCACACGGTGATGATGTGCTCCAGGAGTACTGTGAACCCGCACGGTGATGATGTGCTCCAGGAGTACTGTGAACCTGTCTGGCGATGACATGCTCCAGGAGTACTGTGAACCCGTGTGGTAATGACCTGCTCCAGGAGTACTGTGAACCCGTGTGGTGATGACGTGCTCCAGGAAATCTGTGAACCCGTGTGGTGATGACATGCTCCAGGAGTACTGTGAACCCGTGTGGTGATAACGTGCTCCATGACTACTGTGAAAGACATGCTCCAGGAGTACTGTGAACCCATGTGGTGATGACATGCTCCAGGAGTACTGTGAAATTCTATGGTGGTACCCTGCTCCAGGAGTACTGTGAACCCGTATGGTGATTACACACACCCGATGGCAGCATGTCCGTAAAGACCTGGGCTCACTGGAGGTGCATTGAATGACACTATAGCTGGCCATACACAATATGCTTTCCTTATTAAGCCCCATGGGTTGAACAAGAAAACATTTTTAATTTCCCCCTCCATGCTGCGTGTTGATGGATCATAACCCAACTGTCAGAATACCCAATGACTGCAGCTGATTGGCTGCTGTCACTGATTGGGTGACAGATTTCTGACCAGCTCTTTTAACAAATGCCGATTGAAAGATCGACTTTTGTGAAACGGGGGGGTCCCCAGGGGGACACACATTGCTGGAGCATCGTATGGCCAGCTTAAGCACAGGGAAGAGGACAGGCACTTGATTGGAGAGCACTGAGTCTGGGGGGAACATCGCCACGTAGGAGGTTGGTATTGCAGCCAAAGATGTTTTTCTCTGATGGGCCACTGAATTTGTTGGGTTTTTAGGTTGTTGAATGTATATAAAAAGTCTATGATACTTTCCATTGAGACAATTGAGCCGTCTTTGTAATATCCACTAAAGTTTCTGCATTTGTTGAAAAAAAAAAAAAAGGAGCATGCGCACGTACCAGATTTATCATCCGCGTCTGTTTCTGATCAGATCTGTCATTTTATCAACTGGAATGCAGAACACAAAATGGGATTTAATGAAAGTAAATGAATCTGTCTGATTCACAGCACTTTACTTCAACTCTCAATTATGAATCATTGTCTGTTTAGCCATTAATTGAGGTGCGCTGAGGAGCGGGGAGGGGGGGAGGTAACAGAAAATACGGAATATCATGATGCAGATGTGCAGCCGTTCTCAGAGATCCCTCTTCAGATACTGAGTACGGTCATGGTAGGAAAAGGTGACTTCTGTTTGGATTCTATGGATGATTGAGCAACAATGTATCAATGACCTGTATACACAACTGATATTTAGGCCCCATTCACACCTGACCGTTCTGTAGCGCGTCCTACGCTCGATGAACGCTCTACAAAACGGTCAGAAAAATAAATAGCATTGTAGTCAATGGTATCGTTCCCACCTGTCCGTATTTCCGCCCGTCCCGAACGCACTACAAAACGGCCCACGCATGAAAAGGTCCCGGAGCGTTTTTTGCTGCGTATTGGTCCGTTTTGTAGGGCGTTTTCCATTTGTATACTGCCAAGTAGCCTTTGCAATCGCGCGACGGTCGCGCAACTTTTTTACCGCGAATCGCGGTAAAAAAACGCGTGACGGTCGCGTGACAGACGCGCATATTACAATACGCATAGGTGTGAATGGGGCCTTAAAGCGTATGTAAACCCAAAACCAAAAATGTAATACAGTCATGTGAAAAAGAAAGTACATCCTTTTTGAATTCTTTGGAGGATAATGACCTCTAAGATCAATGCTGATGTGCCTCCTTGGCATTGTGGTAACACACCTGAATACTCCAGACCAGCAAAATGCCAAACGTCACTGCGGGGTGTCACCCGGTACCCCCACCTCGGGACGCCAATGTACTGGACTCCGCTCTTCTACTATCATACAGTGAGTGACAGCACGAGTGGGGGTAACTGTCAGTGGCGTCACAAGGGGGGTGCGGCCCGCACCAGGGTGACACCATTGGAGGGGTGACACCAAAATAACTGACAGTCATTTTGGTGTCATCCCCCTCTGAAAAGTCGGGCACTCCGTCATGGACCAAACGCCCGACAGCATCAGGACAGAGGAGGGGACACGGTGGTATGCCTTATCCCGCCGGGTGACTGCCCCTCCTCTCTCTGCCGGCATCCATCACTCAGGGGACCAGCTGATTCTGCAGGAAGCTAAAACTTTTAAACATCTAGAAGCCCCAGTGCCGTCACAAGGGGGGTGCGGCCCGCACCCGGGTGATACCATTGCAGGGGAAACACCAAAATGACTGACAGTCATTTTGGTGTCACCCGCTCTGGGCACTCTGTTAAGGACCGAGAGTCCAACAGTAGCTCGAGAGAGGAGGGGACCCGGCGGCATACCTTATCCCGCCGGGTGACTGTCTCCTCCTCTCTCTGCTGGCATCCATCACCAAGATGGCTGCAAAGCAAAGGCAAGACCTTTGCTTTGCAGTGCGCTACAACACAGGCACATCGTGTTGGGGTGCCATTGAATACGAGCGGCAGTGCAATGCAGCAACACATGTTATGTGCAATACCGTGCAACACGGAAATGTGATTCCATCCTTAAAAACAGTACTCACTCTAAAAGCCTCTGCACATATCCAACCCTGCAAATCGGCAGATTACTGGCGGGACAGGTCCTTGACCATTCGTCCAGCCATACTGGTGAGGCGGGACGCACAATGGAAAGCTGGCTGTTGGCTGCGTTTGGAGCTCAAAATTCCACACTTGATGCACTGAAAGCCAAGATGTTCCTGAAAAGGCAGTAATTTCCCGCAATTATCGTCAGCCAGGCTAACACTTCATCAGGCTCAGTTTCACATCTGATACATTTTAATTACACAAGTACAGGAGGTACAAGATGAGCCGTCGCCGCGAGCAGCTCTTAGGGGGCAAAAAAGGAAGGAGATCACCGTTTAACCATATGTGTGACTCAGTGAGCATTCCCATGAGAAATCTATATGATCCAAACATATCGTATAAAAGTAAACTCAATGGAGCTGGGAACTGTGGAGAACTATGGGGAAAAGACTTAACCCCATAGTTCTCCTTTAAAGTCTATCTTATTTTAGTGGTGGATAGAGGGGGAAATAAACACGAACTTGAAACTCCGCAAAGTTTTTTTTTTTAAAGTAGTAAACTCTCAAACTTATTTTTCAATAATGAATCCAGTTTAAACAAATATACATCGGGTTTCTTTACATTTCGCTCAAGCACATACAGTCATCATGTTTCTGAACAGCTCCAACTCACTTGGCTGGGTTGCCCCGATCTTCCTGTCCAGTACAAGCTCACAAGGGAGAGATCAGTCTCCAGCAGTCGTGTATGCTGGGACTTCACACCTGCTTTCATTAAAATGCTATCAGTCACCAACTCGCTCTTGACATACATTTGTTAAAAAGTCAGGATAAGCTGTGTATTTATTATGTGATTGTAACCAGAGTATTTCCAAATCTTTTAGGACATTGTTACAATGCAGCTGTGCGCCAACAAGCTGGACAAGAAAGACTTCTTTGGAAAGTCGGACCCTTTCCTGGTGTTCTACCGCAGCAATGAGGACGGAACGTACGTATGATCAATAAAGGGGAGAGTTTAGAAATGGGAGAGCGTTTTATAAACACGGAGAAAGGGAAAGTGGAATGTTGTCCCCAGCAGCCAATCAAATTCCAGCTCTCCAGCTCCCCAGTCCTTTTTCCTGTGCAGGAAATTGGTAACAGTGCACATTACTGGGTGGGTGGGGGCGCATGTTACGTGGGGTGGGATTTATTCGGTTACAGCAAACGTTACCGGGGGTGTACGGTACCTCTGCGACGTCAGTGAGCTGGGTGGGATGCCAGCCAGAGCATCGCAGGTTGCAAAGAGCTCTCAGGCAACCTGGGATGCTCTGGATGGAAAAGGAAGATCACCAGCACTCGATGAATACTTGTAAATTCTTGTTTGTGTTTATTTTAAAAAGTGCGTCACGTGTCACCCTGATGAAGAGACCCTGCGCGGCCCCAAAACATTGGTCTTTGCAAGTAACGCACCTTTTAAAATAAATACAAACAAGAATTTTCAAGTATTCATCGAGGGCTGGTGATCTTCATTTACATCAAGACTTCGTATTGCACGGCGCCATCTGTGATCATCACTGTGAACACCACCATTTACTGTATGGTCCTAAACGCTGTAAGGAGTGCAGGGGATACATCTGGATACTGCTGGCTGGAAAAGAGGCAGCAGGCCCTACTGCCCATTTTCCAGCTCACAGTGATGACCCATGTGATCCAATGAGATGCCACCTGAGCCAACTGCCTCATTTTAGGGAGGGCCCTAGAAGAAAGAGACCACTACTGAAATCTACAACATTATTGAAAGCTAGTAGCTCCCATCAAACTCCATCTATAAATAAAATATCAATTTTGGCGGCCTTGCCCCTTACAATCATTTGCCTGCCCAAAACCGATACATCAGTATTTTATAATGGCCATGGAAAGTTTCATACAAGAAGTTCAGGAAGTGTTGAGGTTTATTAACTTGAGGGCATCCAGTCAAAATTGGGTGATGCCCACACAGCTACATGAAAAAAAAATGTTTTCCATCTTTACAGGTTCACAATATGCCACAAGACAGAAGTTGTGAAAAACACTTTGAACCCAGTATGGCAACCGTTCACCATCCCCGTGCGGGCTTTATGTAACGGTGACTACGACAGGTCTGAGAATCTCTAAAAAACATTTTACCACTTTGAACACATTCCTTTTTCTCCCCCTCTCAACAACCTTTTCTATTTTTCTCCCCCAAAATGTTCGGCCTACTTGCAGGACGGTGAAAGTGGATGTGTATGACTGGGACAGAGGAGGAAGGTAGGTGGCTTCCCGTTATTACATCAGCTTTGCAGCGTTAGCCAGGCATACATGACTGATCTAGTCATATTGTTCAGAGGATGGGTTTTAGCAGCTTGTTATGCTAACCTGTAGATAGAATTGATCATGTCTGACACATTTCAGGAGGTGGGTATCAGTGCCAGCAGTGATGGGTGGTACAGGGCACAAGAAGAAAAAAAAACACAACTGGAGACCTCTTCCAGTACACAGCCATCAATCCAAATCTCCAATATGTTCAAATGTCCAACTAGGGCAACCTTGGCTGGGCCATCCTTTTCTGCCTTGGGTGGTGGGGTGTTATCTTCCAGGGAGGGTGTCTAAAGTGCAGAAATTTATAACAGCCAATCAACTTTTATCTGTAATCAGATTGGTCGTTATACCTAAACCAAACAGACTTTATACTAAATGTATCCTAAGCAGATGGTAATTCTGCCAAACTTAAATTCTCTTACGTTCATTGAAGGACACAGCTGAGATCTTTGTGCCAATGGGTTATACTACCACTTGCAGGAAGAGGACGATAGAAAAGAAGCTTGGCTCTGGGGATGGTTCCTGTTGTGGCCACACCCTCATCCAAGGCAGCTCAGTTTTTACAGCTCACTTGTGAACGAAAGAGGAAATAGGATTTTTTTTCAACTTTCTCTGCGTTCATTGAAGGACACAGCACCCTTCCGTCTTTGGCTCTTTTTGTGCCTTAGTTCTACTGCTTTGTGACTAACTGAGCTATCCTGGATGGAGGTGTGGCCACCAAAAGAAGCCACTCCCAGAGCCAAGCTTCTTTTTTGTGGCTGACCTCCTACTCCTGCAAGCGGCGATGTAACCCATCAGTTTAGAGATCAAGATCTCTGCTGTGTCCTTCAATGAACGCGGAGAAAAGGATTTTAAGTGAAACAAAAATCCTATTTTTGCAGCACATTGACTCATTTTGCCTTTACCAGAATATCATACCAATGAGTCTTCAGCTTACCATACACATTACAATCTGATTATACAATCGCCTTTAGATCTACCAACAACAATGTAGTGCAAGCGCCTGTCTGATTGGAAGCGAATTGATTGGATATTAGCTAGATCCCTTATATTACATAGTTGTGATAAATCTCGAGTTGATTGTGCAAAGATTATATGGCTTGATTGTAACGTGTATGGCGACCCTTAAATGTGGCCACGCTGACTGCTTATCAAAACATACATGAAGGTAAACCGTACGGCTTTGTTTTCTAGCAAAGCTATGTCAGCGTTTACATGGTTAATACATGGCTTTGTTGATAAAGAAAGTCATGTCAGTGATATATCCTACTGAATTTTATTTAAGGTGCACCCCAAAAGAAATGCATTTCTAATATGTTTTTTGGAAATAAATGAATGATTTAAATACATTTCAATAAATACATCCATGACAGCTCCTGGTATCACGCTAATGATTGGGAATCAATCAGCATGGTCCCACATCATGCGATCCCCCTTGACAGCCACATGAGGTTTGTTTACTAACAAACCTGCTGCCTCCAGCTGTCACAGTGCTTTACACAGAGAGAGACACTGACAACTGAGACCAGCAGGCTGCAGCTGTCACAGTGTATTACAATGTATTGTAATTGTAATGACTTACTGAAGGTTTTCCTGAGACTTTGCTCTGCTGTTCATTTTTCAGCCACGACTTCATTGGGGAATTTACTACAAGCTACAGAGAGTTATCCAGAGGACAGAGTCAGTTCAGTGTATATGAGGTGAGAATTCCATTTGTAGCCATTGCATGTATGTGATGTCCCGGGGCTCCCATATGACCCAGTGACCAGGACTGGATACCTGTAATATGCAGGGTAGCTTATAGTGTACCTAGTAGGCTGCATGCTGTAAAAGAGGAAGGTAGGAGAGGTAAGTACTGTTTTTTTTTTTTTTTAATAAAAAATAAAACCTGTGCTGGAATTAAACAGCAAGTCGAGATGAAAGTTAAAGTGTATCCAAAGCCTAAACTTTGTTTTTTTAGCACAGGATAAAGTAGAGAAGTGATTGAAACCCCTGCAGTGTCTTATTATAGGGGATTCACCCTGGTGAGCATTGTCATTGGAACAGAAAGTAATGGGAAACGTAGCAGTTGTCACCAGGACAGAAAATCCGAGGAACTCTTCTAATGGGGACACCTGATTTGATGACAAATGTCTCAGAGGGGATTTCCTCTCACATTGGAAAGATTTCTTCTCACTTCCTGTTGTGTTTCCAGGACAAGAAATGTTTTAACCATTTCCTACACAAAAAAACCTTTGGTTTTAGACATACTTTAAAGAGAAACTCCAGCCCAAATGTAAGGGTTCATTTTGTTAATTCTTGGTCAATTGTCAATGTTGTCAACAGAACAGGAAGTGAGGGGAAGGCTCCAGCAGGCTCAGAGCCTGCCATAAAAAGCCATCACTTTTTTAATGCCGTTCTATTCCTTCTCCCACCATCATAATCCACAGTTCTTGTCAATGGACCCATGTGTGTCGAGTCAAAAGATTTCTTTTCGAGAACCCATTAATTAAGGACAAAATCATACTTTTGCATTGCAGTATGTTGCCGTAATGCATGCGTCAACATGCACAGTACCTCAACATACTGAGGCAACAGAGCTCCTTCGCACATGCATTGCGGTGCACAACAACACACGATAACCCACTACCCTGTATTGTGGCGCTCTGCGTCAGAAAAAATGCTGCTTGTTTGTTTAGTCCATTCCTGTGCATTGGCAGTCCATTCGAAATAAATAGTCTGCCTTTACATACTTAACCCACATGTGATACACAGGAATGAAGACGTGTGAATGGGCCCTTGAGAACTGCATTGATAAAGTATCACAGAGATATTGATACTTGTGCGGCCGGCTGCGGTTGCGGCTTCTCTGAGCACAGCCCGGGGACTGGCAGCGTCCGAGCAGTCTCCAGTCGCCTGTGTATACCCAGCCTGATATCCATGTCAGCAGGAAGAGCTCACATCTCCAGTGGCTGTTCAAACAGACAGCATGACATTGCTGGTGATATTGACACAGGGAACGAGGGCTGGGTACCAATGAAAGTATTATCGGAATGTTTAATCTGAGCAAAGTGAAAGATGAGAGGATTAATCAGCTCAGTATCTCATTATTTTCAGGCAGTACAGGGGTTTGTGCAGCGAAGCTAAACATATTATCACAGCTTCATCCTCTCAGCTCTGGACTTCATGAGGATTCCCAAGTCATTTAGAGAATTGCACACTTTCTTTCTGGACCGTTAAATAGAAAACAGTTGGTACGAAGTATACAGCGCACTTTCTAATGGCGTCTGCACGTCTTGTATTTAGTGGTGCAACTTTCAAGAAGTATTAACCTCTTATACTTTTTTCAGTAATGAATCCAGATCAAAGAGATACACATTGCCCAGCAAAGCATTTCTTTACATTTTTGCCCATGCACTTACAGTCATCATGTTTCCAAAAAAGCTCCAGCTCTTTCAGCTTGGCTTCCCTAAACTGGCTGTCCAGAACAAGATCACAAGAGGCAGAGCAGTTTCCAGTGCCGTCCATCTATTAGCTTGGAGAGGGGTGAAGGGAGGAGGGAGAGAAGAGAGAAAGGAAGGGGGAGCAGCAAACCCTGCTGTTCCTGTGTGTTTGTGGAGACACACATAGCTTACTAGCGCACACAAGGGTGGCTCCATAGGACCCTGCAAGGTAAAGGAGCCACCCTAAGACAGGATATCAGAACCAGGGCTCAGGGGACCAACTGATTCTGCAGGAAGCTAAACCTTTTAAACATCAAGTCATATCATCCATTCTAAGTGATTTCATCAGCATTTGAAATAGCCTAAAATCCGTTTGACTTTAATGTCACTTTCAGTTGTGATTTCTTGTTTTAAAGTTCCTCTAAAGCTCAAACTTTTGGGTGAAGTAGTGAATGTTTTGGGGGTTTTTTTTTGCAAATTTGTCCAGGGAGATTTATCTTCTACTTCCCGGCCTGTAGACATCATAGGAGATTATTATTATTATTATAATACAGGATTTATATAGCGCCAACAGTTTGCGCAGCACTTTACAATATAGGGAAGACATTACAATTACAATACTATTCAAGACAAGATTGTAAGGACGGCCCTGCCCCTGAGGGCTTACAATCTTAAAGGGAGGGGCAAGTGATACATGAGGTGGTAGCTGTGTGGGGATGAATTGTTTGAGAAAGTGATAGTTCAGTGGTTAGTTTTAGGCGGGATAGGCTTCCCTGGAGAGATGAGTCTTAAGGGATCGCCTAAAGGCAGTCAGAGTAGGAGATAGATGGACAGGTTGGGGTAAAGAGTTCTAGAGGATGGGAGAGACTCTAGAGAAGTCCTGGAGGCGAGCATGGGAGGAGTTGACGAGGGAGCTGGAAAGCAGAAGGTCTTTGGAAGAGCAGAGGGGGCGAGATGAGAGGAAATCTCTCAAAAAAAGGGATAGCCTCTCTTAGGCCTTGTTCACATGGGCAGCGGACTTTTACCACACCCCACAAAGCGATACATGGTGGGCTGCTTTTCAGAGTGCAGCTGAGAAGTGGTTTACAAGCATTCAGGAGGCAATACTGCCACCTCTACTGTAATTTAAAATCACTTTTCTTAAGGATCACAAAATTCATGGGAGTCAGGAGGAGATGGACATAACAGGAGATAAGTCTGTCTGTCTTGATGACATTGGTTACCAGCAGAAATATTGTGTCTCAATCTCCCCAACATGGTGGACACAGACAACAATAAATACACTTCTCCACCCTATCTCAAACTACAAGAAAAGTCTTGGCTATAGATATATTTTAAAAACTTCAACTATAAATACAAAACACTGTTTTCAGGGATCACACAATTCATGGGAGTCAGGAGATGGACATAACACGAGATAAGTCTTTCTGTCTGGATGATGGTGGTCACCGGGAGAAATATTGAGGGTCAATCTCCCCAACATGGTAAATGCAACAATAACATACATATACAGGATTTATATAGTGCCAACAGTTTGCACAGCACTTTACATCACATGGTGAGACACTACAATTACAAGGTAGAAGACACTTCCCTGAAGAGAGTTTTCAGGGATCGCCTAAAGCCAGACAGACTAGGAGATAACTAGATAGTTTGGGGTAGGGAGTTCAAGACGATGGTAGAGGCTCTGGAGAAGTCCTGGAGGCGAGAATGAGAGGAGGTAATGAGGGAGTTAGACCCGTGGTTCTCAACTGGTGGGTCGCAACCCCATGTTCAGTGGGTCGCCCCATGTATTCCACTGCAATAGGTCAGAGGCTCCTCAGCCTCCCCTATAGCGCAGCACTGCCAGTTCTCGTGCCAAGCAGCCATTCAAAATATGCTGCCCGGTGCCGAGTGTCAGCTTAAGGTAGAGTGGGCTGGGGGTATGTTTGCAAGGGAGGTCCATCCATACGTGCATCGCGTGACCGGAGTGATGTCACATTCTGGCTCCCGGCACCTCTATAGGGAGTGCAAGGAAGCTGTACAAGCAATGCACATATGGATGGAGCTCCGTCACAGCACAGCAGCCAACACTGAACCCCTAACATTTTTTTGGTAGTGTGTATGTGTGCGTTAGAATATCTGTGAGTGTGCGAGATTGTCTGTGGTTGTGTGTGTCTGTCAGTGTTTTAATTGCAAACTACCACGCAATCGCACCTTCTGTTCATTCTGGTACAGGAGGTGCATTGCATTGTGTTGCCATTCATTTCAATGGCTCCCCAAACACACCTCCCGCCCATCGCTTGCACCGGAACATGCGGTATTCCAATGCCGTGCATTCCAGTGTGGTGCAACTTGGGTTGCGACTTCATGCCAAAGGACAAAATGTGGGTCCAGAGTTTATACAGGTTGAGAACCACTGAGCTAGACAACAGGAGGTCTTGGGAGGAGCGGAGAGGATGGCTTGGGTGATATCTTGAGATGAGGTTGGAGATGTAGCCGGGGGCAGAGTGGTGGATGGCTTTGTATGTTGTTAGTATTTTGAATTGTATGCATTGCCCTATTGGATAACACCTCTCCACTCTATCTCACACCATAATAAAAGTTTTAGCTGCAGATACATTTTTAAAAAAGCTACTCTAAATACATAAAAACTATGTTTAAGGATCACAGAATTTATGGGGAGCTAGAGATGGATATAACAGGAGATAAGTGCAGCGGTGACCAGGGGTGTGGGAAGGGGGGTGGGGTGTTGTAAGATAGTTCACCTTTCCATTTCCCTTTAATAACAAGTAGACATCAAGTACTGTAGGTAACATTTTGCCCGTGGTTTTTAATTATATGCCGCCGCTCAAAAACATCAAAAACACGCTGCATCTTAAAGTTGCCTACCTCTCATCTCCCTATACAGAGGAAGCTTCTCAACTCCTATTACCGATTCTGCATCATAAAGACCATTTGTGTCTTTAGGACATAATGGCGGGAGTCTTTGATGTAACACAAAGCGGGAATAAGTTGCAGTTGAATACATTTAATGTAATATTTATAGTGTTCGCTCTTGTACATGTGTCATTTTAATTGTGACGGTGAGTCCAGAGGTCTACCAGAACGGAGCTCTCTTTCTCAGTGATGAATGTGCAAGTAGCTGCGCTAATGAAGATGAATGCGGCTGAGTTTTTGTGTCAGTGGCAGGAGGGGCATCCTTGACTTGTCATTCCCTCTGTCTTAGGTACTAAATCCGAAAAAGAAGTGCAAAAAGAAGAAATATATCAACTCCGGGACGGTGAGTCAGCTCCTAATGGACATAGTCTAATTTGGCTATGTCTACACCAAATCTGTGACCTTAAGCGGATTGCCGGGTACCGCGAGCGATGCACGGCAGTTATTTATCTTGTTTGGACGCCGAGCAGAGCAACAAAATTAATGAGGCTTATTAAAGCGAACCTATACTCCGGTGATAACATAAAGCTCTGTTAATGGTTTTGCTCGCACGGATAAGCGATTGAAAGCAAAACAGAATAGAAAAGGCGAAACACCCTCTTATGCTAACCAGAGTTCTGGTGTATGTGAGCAGCACAGGCATGATATCTGTAAAAAAAATAAATCAAGGCAACTGGACTTGCTGTATTTTTCTTAGACGTTTAGCTGGTTATCCGACTAACTTTCTCAGTTCAGATTTCTAAATTGGGCAAGCTAGCCAGATGACCAGCGAAACGTCTTTAAGAAAAATACAGCAAGTCCAGTTGCCTTGATTAATTTTTTCAATTTCAAAGTATTTTATCGGTTTTAAGGTTTAACACAGAAATAGCAATAATAGAGGGTATATGATCACAGTTGTCATACAACAAAGGAACCGAAACAGGCTGCTGTACGGAGAGCATTCTGCCCAACACATTAAGGATTTCCTTGCGTAGGTATCGTGAAGTGTACATGTAAAAGCAGGTACATTCTATCAGGAGGCAATATTATTATTATTATACAGGAGTTATATAAAGCCAACAGTTTGTGCAGCGCTTTACAATATAAGAAAGACATTACAATCACAATACACAATACCCCAGACTGGTTGGGGTAGAGATATTCCAATGTCGACCACAGAATCGTAAGGAGAGCACAGGTGGACAACAGTCTCCTATAATCCGGGGTCGATAGTGTCAAAGATCATTAATAAGAGGGGAGTAAGGTAAGGGAAAGGGAAGGAAAAGCAGCAGGGTCGCAGTAAAGAGGTGATAGAGGGGAAAGGGTGGGACCGCCTTGATTTATTTTTTAAAGATATACCCTGACCTGGATGAATGAGAACCTTCTCAGACAGCACTGGAGGAAGCTTGGAGCAGCACTGGAGGAAGCTTGGAGCAGCACAGAGTGAGCTTGGAGCAGCACTTTCTCCAGAAAAGGCCAACTTCAGCCCAAATCTTTTTTATTTGTATTAGATACAACAGAGAACGGTTAGAACCTCTTTCAAGTTTTAATTCTGCCTGTGACTCTAGCTGGGGAAGATTTCCCCTCACTTATTGTCCCTGTGACATTTAGGGGTCTATTTATAAACCATATCTATGTATATCTGAGAATGTTTGCTCAGTGCAAATATATGCCAAAATGAACATTTTATTCCTTACAAATAGAATGGATTGTCAAATGTTTTCATGTAATATCACATTATGGCTACTAGAAGCGCTAAAGGAGTATAGGAAATTAGTATTTATTTAATATGCTCCTCAGCACCATCTAGTGGCCATCGTGCGATATTACATGTAAAAAACATTTAAAAGTACATTCTACACAACTAAAGAACGTTCATTTTGGCATATAGCCACAGAAAATAAATGTTCACAGATATTCACCCTCCGAATAGTTTATAAATAGCAGTAAATAGGGTATGTCACCAGCTTACCAAAGTATAATTTGGTATTCTGGTCTCACCCTATGTACTTGGATTTCAGCGGCACCCTCTGCAGCCAATTCAGCACCCATCTCCAAGGGGCATACTGGTAAGCAGTGCAGTGGAATATCCATGAGTTTATAAATAGACCTCTTAGTGTCACAGGGACAGGACAGAAGTGTATGGAGCAGCTTTTTCTTTTCTTAAAAGCCCGTGGAACGTGCATCGAAAAACTATCCACTGTGAACAAAAAAAGTGAACCGTGAAATCACAGCACACAAAAACGTGCATAAGGGTGCTTGGTCCTTCAATAAAGAAGGGACCTCGATTGCCGACCCCCTGGGGCGCAAGGCTCCTGACAGGGGTTGAGACTGTTGGTCCACCAACCCGAAGGCCGGTGGACCCCGATCCTTTGGGGACCTGCCGGAACAGGTCCCTCACAGTACTCGGTAGGGGGCTCTCCCGAAGAGAGATCCCCTGGATGGGAGGAGACAGAGAACCCTATATTAGGGTACAGAATCTCCTCCCCACATCGGGAAAAGGCCCCGAAGGAACCTGCACGCGCTGCATCTGTGGATCAATAAACGCTTTTTAAAAAAAGCCAATCGTGCATTAAGTGCAATAAATAATACTAAAGTATACTCATGATGATCATCTTCAAGCACTTTGCTATCTTTGTATATTTGCATTCTTTCACACGGAGTTCACCGTTCACCGGATTATTTTACCTATTTGGACACGTTTTTTGATTTTTTGATGTTTATTAGCACTTATTAACTATATAATCTATTGGACTTGACTTTTTGATTTTAATTGTATAACTTATACGGTTGGAGCCTCTCTATTTATTTATAGTGTTCTAGTTTGGTTTTTACACAGCTATACACCTAACAGGTTTACAAATCGTTTTTTGCCCGAACACCTACCCTTCGCTCCTTTGCACATTTTTTCCCCTAGCGCTTTGCTTTTTCCGATCATATTAGGATTCATCCCTCTTCAGAGCAGCTTCGGGTTTTAATTATTCTTTCACAATTTCTCACATATTTAATTTTAATTCATTTATTCCTTTATTATCACCCCCCTCCAGAAGCGCAGATTAACTTGTTTACAATAATACTAAAGTGCCAGTGCACCACGCTGACAGGCCCTAGGGGCCGGAGTGCAAGAATATTGCCCCGGACTAGCCATAAGGCCTGTCTCGGAGGCGTTGTGCAGAATATGCAAGGTGGTGTGTGTCCATGTGCACAGTGAGTCAAAGTGGGGTCCCACACCCAAGTGACTTTCTGAGCACCCCTGGGACGCCACCCCCAGGGGGCACAACACCACGGGCTCTGCCACCTCCCAACCCTCCGGCCAGACCAAGTGTTTCTCTGCTCACATCAGGAGGTAGTGCTGTCGGGGGTCCTCCCACTGTCTGGGGTCTACCCGTAACCTCAGGGCCTGACGCAACCAGCAGTGGACCGAACCGTCCTCCGACACCCACCATTACGTCAGAGGGTACTAGAATGCTCCCCCGTTCTGGGATCGGCAGCATCCTCTCCCCTCCAACAACTGATAAGAACAGATACTACACTTGATCTTAGCCAAAAGGCCGAGAAGTGATAGTGTACGGAGCAGCTGTCTCAGGCACAAACAGCAATATAAACATCATCAAAAATCTGACCAGTCCCTAGGCTACTAAAAATGTGTCTCTGTTTTTGCCTGTGTCCCCCATTAGAGTGATTTGCAATCACTTCCTGTCCTGTCAGGAAGTGAGCGTAAATGTCAGCAACAGGGACACAGAGGGAGATAAAACCTGACATAGGCTTCCCCTTTCCGTTGTTCTATCCAAAAAAATTAATAAAAGGGTTTGGGCTAGAGAAGAGCTTTAACCATTCCTGAGGAATGTGCTGCTCCAAGCTCACCCCAGTGCTGCTCACATACACCAGAGGTCTACATGTTTGGTACTGCAAGCTCTGAAGGAGTAAAGAATTAGCGTTCAGAGTAATGTTACATTGTATCAATATTGGGAAGAGAAAATAAGCTATCAATGTGTGTTACAATATTTATTCTTAGAGATTGATTAGGACTTTCGGATTATTTAGGAAGCCGTATTCTTTTATGTGGCCAGTGTGACGCTTCAACAGATCCAAATATTGATAGGCTTTGCAGATATATAAATGTACGACCCTCAAATGAAGTTCTAGTGGGCGCTCTGTATGTAAATGATAACTATAATTTCCCGTTACTGTCTGTTTTTTAAATCTTCATAAATTACTGTCTCACAGGTGACACTTTTATCTTTCAAGGCTGAATCTGAATATACATTCGTCGATTACATTAAAGGAGGGTAAGCGCCATCTTTGTGCTGTTTAAAATACATTTTGAACACATCCTCTTTCATAAACACGATAACATACCTGTGGTTGTCTGATAAGAAATAAGGGAGGAGTCTCTCCTATGACACCTCACTTGTGTATGTAAATGACACCTTGAGCTACTGAGCTTTGTGAACAACAGAGGAAATCATTTTAAAAAGAAGGTGACAGCCCTATTTGCTGGCTGAAAATAAGAATACAAAATATTAACAAGCATTTCATATTTCCAAAAAAAAATAAAACATTTTTTTTTCATAATTTAGCCTTGACCATAATAAATCAACAATATCTACTACCGCTACACATTCCCTTAATTCTCAACTGACGTGTCCGTCTTTTTATTACTGTAATACAGTCAGGTTGAATTTATCTTAAAGTGACTCTAAACTCTTAAAGGAGAACTATGAGGTGAGTGACCGGTCCCGTGGTCACACATTCTAACGTAATCCCGCCCAGTTTTTCGGCGGTGGAATGTGTGACCGGTCACATATTCTAACTCATATTCTAAGACTGTGACTGGGTTGGAATGTGTGACCGGTCACATGGTCACACAGTTTAACGTAATCACGCCCACTTTTTCGGTTGGTGGAAAAGGTGAAGAATTCCAACCCTTTCTCAGCTGTTCCAGGGCAGATCGGCATCGCAGGTGGTATGTGCAGGAGAACCGATCTGCCCTGGAACAGCTGATCGGTCCTGAAATGTCACTCCTTTGTGGAATGTGAGATCGCAGTCACAAAGTCACATCTCAGGAACGATCAGCTGTTTCAGATCAGATCGGTTCTCCTGCACATACCATCTGCGATGCCGATCTGCCCTGGAACAGCTGAGAAAGCGTTAGAATTCTTCACCTTTTCCACCGACCGAAAAAGTGGGCGTGATTACGTTAAACTGTGTGACCGGTCACACATTCCAACCCAGTCACAATCTTTGATAGAACATAGGCATGCAAAGTATGGAATTAAATAAGCAAAGAGGGGTGTTATTTTGCCTTCCTCTGGATCATATTTGCTGGGGTAGCGAAAGGACAGACTTGAGGGACGTGTGTCTTTTTCTCAACTTGTTAACTAAGTCGCTATGTAACATGAATCATGTTACGGCTTGCAATCCCGCCGTGGCCACCTTACCGCTATGCGACGCAGAGCAGAGGCAGCAATCTGTTCAGTGTGGCTCTGCCAGCTGAAGTTCATTTAATGCGCTATGGAGGAGTCCCATACTTCTATCTATCATTGAAATTACATTCAGCGAGTAGCAGGGGGAGAACCTGGCAAATTATCCAGTCGTCACATCACAGATAGTACATGAGGTGGGAGAAGAATCTGCAATTACTTTTACTTGTTTCTCTTTTTTTTTCTCCCTCTTCCTTCTAGGACGCAATTAAACTTCACAGTTGCCATTGATTTCACGGCTTCGAACGGTGAGTGTGATGAAGTATCTTTTTTTTCCCTCTCTCTCTCTCTTCCCTCCCTGCAACTTTCTCCCATTATTCCAATTAATTGCAGGAGTCTCATGGTCGTGGAAACAACAAGGATCTGAGCGAAGGGGGGGGGGTTGCTATGATAACGCAGAGATGCAGGTTGCCCGTAGAGGTTAAGTTCACTATCGTGCTGCACAGATGCTGCCTGTTCAGCTCGGCGCTTAATGAGGCTGCTAGATTCGCTCCTGACCGTGAGGTTTATTTGTAGAGGCTGCTGTAATGAGTGAATGTTTACCGTTCCCAGGCCTTAAAGCTGAACCCCAGGCAAACAGCTAAAGAGGTGGAAAAATGCCAATATAGGAGATGTTTTACCTGCCAAAAAATGTGACGATCTGTCCACCCAGTATTGGGATTCACACAGCTCTGCCACGTAGCACAGCCCTGTCAGGCAGGACGGGAGACCTGACTTTCTCTGCTGCAGTTAAAAAAGAACTATAGGCAAATCTTTTTTTGGCTTTAGTTCTCTTTTGAGTCACAGGAGTACATTATTAAATGTACTCCTGTGACGCAAAAGAGGACTAAAGTCAGCAAATAGCAGGCTTTTGCCCGCTATATGCTGACAGCACAGAGCAGCACTGTAGTCGGGAATGATCCCAACTATATTGCCGAGATCCACCCGGCTGCCTGATTGGCAGCTGGCTCTGCCTCTCTAGAGCCAGAGCCAGCTATGCCCGCCCCCCTCTGCTGTCTGTCCCTCCAATGGGCATGGAAGGAAAAGAGACAGGGGAGGGGGGAATCCCTGCAGGGAGCAGTGACTGACGGTCACCATTCTCTGCCGTGAGAAGCCATGAGCTGAGCGATCAGTGGTTTGTAATCACTCAGTTCTCCAGCTATAGGTCGGCCTGTGACAGCTGCAGTGACACGCGCCAGCTCAAGCTATTGACAGGAATACATTTTACTCTCCCAATAGTTCCCCTTTAAGTAACATTCAGTTCTCTTGGCTTGTAACTGGACAGTGAAAGGAGAAGCAGCAGTATGATACGCTCTTCTCTTTGCTCTCTCTTCCTCTCAACATGTTCCTTGTTAGCGCATGGGCACTGCAGCACAAATAACTGGCTCTGTGTTCTGCTTTTCTCTCTTGGGAGGGTGGTCGGCAGGGCTGTGTAAATCTTAGGACTGAATGGCCAGAAACCTTTTGCAGATAAAATAAATTCTATATATGTTTCATATGTGTATTTAACTGAGTGCCTAGAGGTCAGATTAAATCTTAAAAATTAATTCAAGTACCTTAACTATTAACAAAAATCTATCTTGTTTGTGTATCACTCGGCTGTAGATCCTCAAATCATCTCTGAATTGGTGCAGACACTGTCCTTCCTTCTGGAGGGGGGCTACTTTTGTTCCCCATGGTCCCTGTGTGTGTTGTAAAGTAGTCACCACTCCAAGCTCGCTCCCGTGATGGACTACAATCTCATGTTTAGTTTACTAATTTGTATTGAGATTGTAGTCCATCACAGGAGTGAGCTTGGAGTGGTGACTAATTTACAACACAGACAGGGACCATGGGGGTTGTGAACAGGGACCATTCGGGATGTAAACCATGTTTATGCTCTTATGCGTGTGCTAACGGCTCTGTTTCTCTCCTCTCCCCAGGTAACCCCTCACAGCCCACCTCTCTCCACTACATGAACCCGTACCAGCTGAACGCATATGGCATGGCGCTGAAAGCTGTCGGAGAGATTATCCAGGACTATGACAGTGACAAACTATTCCCAGCATACGGATTCGGCGCCAAAATCCCACCAGATGGCAAGATTTCCCATGAGTTCCCGCTGGTGCGTAAATGTCTTCTGACATATTTTCCTCAGTCTACAGTTAACGCGACTCGAAAATACTCCGATACTGCCGGACTTCATGTACAGTCTGGGAGAATGAATGATTTTCCGTTTAGGACTTTGGAGATTGACCTATTATGGAAAATTGGGAAGACTGATAACATAACCAGGTCCCGCCAACCCCCCCAAGGATAATGGCAGACCTGCAGGCTGCATACAAGTGATCTTGGCGACATCTACAAAGCAAGTGGTGGCTTTCCGGCTGTACATTTAGCTTTGCTTGACCAAAGCAGGGCTAAATGTAGAAAATAACTACCCGGCCATGGCCCGGAACTGCATGGAATTCCACACCCCTGCTGCCCCTCTACTCCCTGCTGCCACCACAAGGCCGGGCCTTGGTTGGCCTGGTGGGAAATCCGTCCCTTAAAATAACCCAATCAAAATTTCTCATCTTTGATGTTACTGACCACTCCCAATGTATAAAGGCTGAATTCTGAAATGTTCTATATATTTCATTATTCTGCCATTGAATAAGCTGCAGCTAGGATCAGCCAGGTCAGTATTGTCTTTAAAGCAAACCTGTCATGAGAGATATACAGGAAGTGCCATTGCTGACCATCTTTTAAAAACAATCGTTGCTTGACCTCTATGCTAACCAACCAGCATCAGTTCTTCGGTCATTGGCCTGGAACAAGTAAGCAGATAAGTCAGAGAAAAGTTTGGAGTTCTCATCTGCATACATGACCCAGGTCAGGAATGGCAGCCAAGTAAAAAAGGGATTTTTACATGGAGGATCGCTGTGGCAGACTCCATGCCTCTCTCTCTTGACAAATTTCCTTCAATGACAGCTTCACATCTACAGATCAATTAGTTAAATGTTGGCTAAAACTGTATATCTATATTAAAGTGGGCATACCATTAAAAGGAATTCAAATACGTAGTCACCTAAAATTAATATACAGAGTCCCTTTAAATGTTTTATCTGCTCAGTATGACAGCTCCAAGCTTGGTCAAGTAGTGGCTGCTAGAACATGAGGGTCAGGTTGCAGAGCCATTTGCTCTTTGAATCTTTCTGAATATTCGTTCTGTGCAAATAGAGGCAAAAATGAATGTTCTTTGAAATACTTGTAACCAATTTGCAGAGCCGTTCACCCTACGAATCTTTCTGAACAAATGTTCTGTGTCAGCGTTCTTAAATATATTTTCTTTTCAGGTCGAATATATGTAATGTTATACTGCATTATGGCCACTAGATTGAGCTGAGGGGCATAGGGCATATATACTTATTTCATGTGCTGCCAAGCTCCATCAAGTGGTCAAAATGCAGTATTACATTACATACCTTTTTCTTGAAAAGAAAATGCATCTGAGACCATTCGTTTTAGATAGGCTCCTATGTGTCCTCAGTCAAAGCCACTGATAGGTCAACAAAGACCACACGACCCTTTTTTCCTCAGCCAATACCATGTCTATTACCGATGATTGGACCCGGCCATTAACAGTGCTAGGTGAGAAGATGAACATTTTTAACAGCCATTGCACATTGAGGCATCTTGGCAGGTGTAACATAAGTGAAGGCAGGATGTATATTTAGCTCCCTCAAGCAAATTCTTGCAAGTTATAATTTTTGTATCTCTCTTT